CTTTTTGGAGTTTTTTTCAGGAAGAAAATAAAAGAGGGTCTCGACCAACTTCAGAAAATGGTGCCTGAAGGACACACATCCATGCAGGCAGGATTTAGAAATGTATACACCCCTTGAGCTCCAAGAATTGATTCTAGTTTACAAGGTCTTAGAGTATCCATGTCCAGTTTAGCTATTTCACTGTCCAGGTTCGCTATTTCTTCATTTTGTTGCAGGCAATTTGGCAGATGGAAAATTTCAACTCCACATATAAGCACCTGGGGAAACAGAGCTGGGCGAGAGCCTCAGAGAGCTCTGTGTGCAGATTCTGCAAGGCCACCCCTGCCCTGCCTCTTGGAGCAAGTTGCTCACCTGCTCTGAACTCCAGGTCCCTCCCTGGTGCAGTGAGCATATTAAGCCCCTGCCCCATGGAGTTCCAGAACTGTGTGGGATCCTGCGTGTGCACCCCTGGTGCTCATAACCCTGAGGTGCTTGCCCTCCAGCTGGGCTGTGTGAAAAGGAAAAGGGAAGAGCCAGGGGGTTTGCCCCTTTGCACACACCTTAGTCTTCCTCCTCCCTTCCTTGTTTCCCCTCTGAGCGACTTGCATTCCCTGAATGTGTCTTATGCAGAAGGCTGTCCACAGCCGCCGACTCCCCTCCCCACTGTGTGGCTGCAGCTCTTGTCAGGAAAAGGCAGGGTTGGTGGGGAAAGGCATTGAGGTGGCTGTGGGGTCCCCTGCCCAGGTGCCACTGACCTGGAGTCCTGTATTCCTGGGCCCACAGATGCCGGCAGGGCTGCCCACAGGCTCTGCCCACAGGAGAGCCCAGCTTCTTCTCCCCCTGGCCATGGGACAGGCCTGTGCTTGTGGAGTACTGGCTGGAGCTGCCCTCAGGCAGAGGTGGTGCTGCTGCTAGTGGGTGAGAGTTCAGGCAGCCTGTTGAGAAGGGGTCTGCCCCTCTCAGCTCCTCCTTTTCAAATGGGTGCTGGGCTGAGAACTCTCTCACTCTAGGGGGTCTCTGGAGAGCAGGTGCTTGGCTCTTGGCAGCCTCTGCCCTGGAGGATGAGGTGGGGGCACCTGGCCATGCCCTGGAGTGATCAGTGCTGTGGGCCTGGTGGCCTGCAGGGGTCCTGGAGTATTGGGGTGATCAGATCCAGCACCAGATCATGGGAGTGATGAAGTCTGGCGGAGTCAAAGGAATGAGAAAAAGACAGTTTGAGAGAGAAAGTGGGACCAGGGGGCCATCGTGAGTGTGGAGGCTGCAAAGGCCCCGGGCTCTGGGAGTCCATGCTATTTATTGGTGCTCAAACAAAGAAACAGATGGTGAGGATGTGGGGTTGAAAAGAAACGGTGTATCAAGTGAATGAGAAACATATAGCTGCTTGAGATAATGAGAGTGCGAGAAGCAAGGAGCTAGCAAGTCAAGCAGACATGCAAGCCCTGCCTCAGCTTCTCTCCCAACACTCAGCTTTTCTCCCAACACCAGAGCTTTTGGAGGTCACTTCTAGGGCCTTTGCTGAGCAGGCCACTCCTTGCTTCTCCTGCAGACAACAAGGTTTCCAGCATGATTATTGCTATGACCGATGGAACAATGATGAAACATCCATTTTTGGACACTCTCAAAGAAGTGAGTTCAGTTTGTATTTATCAGCATTTTGCTCCTTGTATTTTGGTAATTAATACTCAATGCCTTCTTTCCCTTAAGCTGAAAGGACTTGGAGCCTGGGGGCCACCATTTATGTGGCTGATTATAGGAAAGACCTGGTAATTCCAAACAGGTTAACCAGGTACCAATATGGAGCCTTGTGGTCAGGTTGGGGTTAGAGTAGGGAAGGGCGTCTCAGGTGGCTTTCCCAGGGCCACCCTAAGAAGGGTCGTCTAATCTGCCTCAAGTGAGTTGGGCCAACCCATGACTACTGCAGAAATGACAGCATGTCGTATAAATCCCACCACACCAGAGGGGAGGGCGGAAGAGCTCCCCCCACATTCCCTGAGAGTGGGCTGCTGGCTGGAGAAGGCTGTGGCTCTCAGAGCCTGGCATTCTGCTGCCCCCAAAGCATGGGGGCAGGACACTGTCCCCTGGGCCTGGGGTCTGCTGCATCCTCACCTCTGGGCCGGGGATCCAAGCCAGCTCTGCTTTCTGTAGATAACAGCAATTGCAGACAGCCCTGACCATGTGTTTGCAGTGGAGAATGGCTTCAAGGCCCTGAGAAGCAACTGTTGATGCTGTGAGTGGTTGGAGGTGAGGGGCTAGGGGCCTGGCTTCTGTGACCGGAAGCTCACTCTCCCTGCCCTGTCCCACCCCTACTCATGTGTTCCAGCTCACATCAAAGACCTATCTTGAAGCTATGTTGGTGGAGCCTTCCTCTGTGTGTGTAGGAGGTGAGGGCTGCAGAGGCCCTGTGGTAGCCAAATGGTGGTGTGCGTGAGTGCATGCATGTATGCAGTGTGCGTTTGTTTGGTATGTGTGGGGGAGGATGTGTGTGGGGAGTGTGAGTGTGGTGTGTGTATGTGGTGTGAGTGTGTTTGGTGTGTGTATGTAGTTTGTGTGGGTGCAGTGTGTGTAGTGTGTGTGGGAAGGTGTGCTGTGGGAAGCTTGATGTGTGTGAAGTCTGCAGGGGAGGGTAATATGTGGTCTGTGTGTTGTGTAAATGTGTGTGTGATCTGTGTGTGGGGTGTGTATATGGGCTGTGAGTATAGTATGTGGGGGGTATGCAGAGTGATGCATCTGTGTGTGTTGTGTTATGGGTGTATGTGGTGTGGGACCTGAGGAGGTATGTGTTGTATGTGTGTGGGGGTGTGAGTGTGTGTACGGGGCATATATGTATGTGTGTGTGGTGTATGTGAGGAGTGTGTGGCGTAAGTTGGGGTGCTGTGGAAGTGTGTGGGAAGGGTACCTGGTGCGTGGTGTCTAGTGTGTGAGTTTGTTGTGTGGAGGAGTCGGGAGTGTACTGCTTGTGTGTGTGGTGTGTGTGCATGGGATGTGTGCTGTGTGTTTGCTGTTTGTGGTGTATGTGTGTTTACTATTTATGTGTGTCTGTGGTGTGGGTATGTACAGTAGGACTAGAGTGGATGTGTTGTGTGTGTCATACGTGGGTGTCTACATGGGTATATCTTGTGTGTGTGGCATGAGGGGAAGGAAATGGTGTGATGGCATGTGTGTATACTTTGTGTGTGCATTCAGTGGGTGGTGGGTGTGTGTGCCGTGGCTGTGTGTGTATGGTATGGGATGTGTAGGTGTGTGCTTGGTATTTTTGGTGTATACGTGTTTGCTGTTTATGTTGTGTGTGTGGGGTGTGCTGGGTGTGTGTTAGGGGAGTGGGGAGTGTGTGGTGCGTGTATGATGTGTGATGTATGTGTTGTGTGTATGGGATGTGTGGTGTGTCTTTGGTATTTTTGGTGTACGTGTGTTTGCTATTTATGTGTGTGTGTGGTGTGTGGGTGTGTGTGCTTCAGGTGTGTAGTGTGTGGTGTGATGTGTGTGGTATGGGGTGGGTTGAGTGTGTTTGTGGTGCAGTGTGCATGGGTGGGTGGGTGTGGATGTATAGCCTACATGGGTGTGAATGTGAGTGTTGGTGTGGGGGGAATATGCGGGGGTGGGAGTGTGAGTACCTGTACACAATTAGTGTGTTGTTACCTCACAACAATAAGTTTAACTCTAAAGCAAGAAAAGACATGTGTGAGAAGCTCTCAGGGAAACACCAGCAAATGGCATGGAGCAGCAGGTAACCCAGACCACAGGCCAGGAGCAGCCACGGCTCCTCTCAGGAAGGCCAGGCAGGTGCAGAAGGTGAAATAGTTGTGAAATTTACCACATCAACAAAAGGGGAAACAGGAACCAAGAGGTTATCTCAGGGGATGAAGAACAAGAAGTGGGGGCGTCAACATGCCACAGCACCCTGGGAGCAGAAGGAAACCTCCATAGCCCGACAAAGGCGTCCCAACACCCTCGGCTCACTTCAGTTCCACAGGAAAAATCCCAGCATCTGTCCCTACTGTCTGGAATGTGGCAAGGGTGAGTCCCGGCATGGGTGGTGACAGCCTCGTGTAGTCCTCTGTGATGACCCCTGTCTGTCCCGACCTCTACCTGTGCGTGCTGGGACTCTGCCTGGCCGGCATTTACGCAACTGCGGCTGCTGGAGAGGAAGGGAGCCTTGGTTGTCCTCCATCCATGGGGACAGCATGAGGCTGGGTGCTGCTGGCCCCAGAGCAGCAGCTGGGCTCTGGCCTCCTGGTTCCTAACTGCAGTGTGCCCTGGCAGTAGGCTGTGGGAATAGACACACCGTCCATGTCTGCGTTCTGCTCTCCATGGGCACACGACCAGGAGCAAATTGTCCAATGTCAGCCAGCTCCAGAGGTGCCTCCCATGAACAGAAAGGACGCTGTCAGGCCTGTCGTGAGTCCCAAGGTACTGGGCTGTGCGGGGACTGGCACAGGGCTGGGAGCTGGTGGGACCCAGAAACAGGAGCTGGGCTGACACTTCCATGATTGGTCCTGGGCTGTGGCCCCTACTCGCCTCTCCCTGATGCAGAGTTGAGGGTGGGGGTGGAGTAGAGAGCTCCCTTCCCCCTCGGGGTCTCTCTGCTGCTCCTGATTTAAAGCTACTCAGCCATTCAGCCAGTGTGACAGCTGTGCTCCTCTGATGATGTTCCCTGGACATGCACAGGCTGTGGCATCTGAGCAGCCCTGTCAACCCCAGGTGAGGATGTGAGTCGTCACTCCTCCCTGGAGGCAGCAGAGTTGAGGTGACAGGTGCCCTCTGCCCACCAGCTCGGCCCTCTGCCTCTGCCCATGTGTCCTGGCAGTCACAGCCCCGAACTGTCAGCTGTTGGCCAACTTGGGCAAAGCTGCCCCACATGAAGGGTGACAGTCACAGGAGGGAAAGGCCAAGGCAGGAGCCTGAAACCCAAATGCAACAGAATGAGCCCTGTCAGCAGGCTGCCGCCGAGAAGCCAGGAGGGCTCCAGGGAGCCCAGGAAGGAGTCCAGGGAAGGAGGCACGCAGCCCAGACTCACCACCCCCATTTAGCCCTGGGCCTCATATCCAGCCTGGGAGAGGCCTCTGCTGGCCTCACTGCTCCAGGCCATTCCTGAGCCCATCCACCACACTTGCTGGAGGGTTTTGGCAGGCACCTCCCTTCCAAGCCGGGCAGGTGTCTGAGGCTCTTAGCAGGAACTCCAGGCCGTCCAGCAGCCACTCCCTATCCTGGATGCCCTGTGCAGAGGTGGGACCAGGTGGAACATAGGCACTCTGCAAGCCCTGCCTCACCTTGAAGGGCTGAGTCCACCTTCCTTTGCAGCCCTGCTCATAGGGCACCTCCTCCTGGAAGCCTTCCCTGATGACCAGCCCCTCTGACTCCCTGCAGCTAAGGGCTTGGTCTGTGCCTCTCATCAGTCACTTGTCACCCAGGATGTATCATGAGTTCTGGTTGTCTATGTCCAAGTATAATTTTCTTCTTTAGTTCTTTGGTTTTCTTCCACCCTTTATTGTTGAAATTTTCAAACCTATAGGTGAGTGGAAAGGATTGTGCAATGAACACAAACACACCTCTGTCCACTACTGGGATTTTACAATGAATGTTCGCCCATGCTCCTTTATCTCTCCCTCTCTCTCTCTTTTCATCCATCCACCTTGCAATACATAGAATACATGTTTGCAATGTATGTATGTTTGCAATACATAGAATACATAGCCCTAACA